TTATGGCGCGCGTGTGTTTTTGTCTTGATCGGGAGATTTGCTTTTTGGCACGTTGTTGGTTGTCATTTCGTCTGATATGCTTTGTTGATTGTCATGTAGTGTGGAACTTGCCGACTGGTGGGGAAGGCATTTTTTCGTTTTTGGATGTAGTGTTATTTGCATTTTTATTATTTATTTTTTTGGGGTGGTATTTTTGCGGGGTGTGTGTGTGTGTTTGCAGCAACTATGTGTGCGCGTGGGGGTATGCGGTGTATTACGGGAGGTGTACGTGCCTGCAGCCACTATGTGTGCGTGTGCTCAGAATGAATGATGGGAATTGCCTTTTAACATACGTTAAATTATTTTTGTTGGTATTTAAGGTTGTCTTTATGTAGCAAGTCACGCTTTAGGCCGGATGGTCAGTACCTAGGTAGCTTGTATTGTTAATCTGGATCTCAAGCTGATTAGTCCTGTATTAAGTTGATCGTACCCTGGGTTATGGCGCGCGTGTGTTTTTGTCTTGATCGGTAGATTTGCTTTTTTTGGCACGTTGTTGGTTGTCATTTCGTCTGATTTGCCTTGTTGATCGTCATGTAGTGTGGAACTTGCCGACTGGTGGGAAAGAGGCGGTTTTTCATTTTTGGATGTAGTGTTATTTGCATTTTTATTATTTATTTTTGAGGGGGTACTTTTGCAGGGTGTGTGTGTGTGTTTGCAGCAGCTATGTGTGCGCACGGGGCGGTATGTGGTGCATTACGGGGTGTGTGTGTGTGCTTGCAGCCATTATGCGTGCGCGTGTTCAGAATGAATGGTGTGAAATGTGTTTTTAGCCTACGTTAGATTATTTTTGCTGGTGTTTTACGGTTGTTGTGTGTAAGGAACTGAAAATGTACTTTCCCCAATTGAGCGTGCGTTAGCGCTGCGTTACTGCAGCGCTGACGTGCCGCCAGGGGAGGCACTAGCAGCGGCACGTCGCTAAGTGTCCTAGTGGTGAGTGCCCGAATTTGCTGGCGCTAGAGCTAGGGTTTTGCCCAGGCTAAAACCACCATACATAGTCGGCTCTAGTGGCCCACGACAACCTTGTCTATGCGTTGTGGATGTGGAGCTTGTCCGCCATGCCCCAAGGAGGAGTGCCTGCTGGTGGTGGGTGTGGCGTGTTGTGTGTGATAAATGGATACTTGGAGCGCTGGTGCACCTCTCCTGTCATACGCTATATGCAACCAAGATCAGTGTGCGATTGGCGCTGCTGGTCTCAGATATGGAGCTTTATTTTTCAATAACTTGTTGATATTGCCAATTTTTTTCTTTCCATCGAGACAGCTGTGAGCTTCCTTGATTAGCACGGACTGGGTTTCCTGTACGCTGAGTCGCTTGGCCAGGGGAATTGTGGTTTCCCGTACGTCTTGTTCCTTTGCCAAGGAAAACTATGCGCTGACTTCCTGAAGACGAGTGGCGCGGCTGATCTCAGATATAGAGCTTTATTTCTCAACAACACATAGATGCTACCGAGGTTTTTCCATCGAGACAGCTGTGAGCTTCCTTGATTAGCACGGAATGGGTTTCCTGTATGCTGAGTCGCTTGGCCAGGGGAATTATGGTTTCCCGTACGTCTTGCTCCTTTGTCAAGGAAAGCCATGTGCTGATTTGCTGAAGACAAGTGGTCTTGACATTTTGTTTCATCTTATGAGGTTAATAGACTTCGGATTTTCAATTGTTTCTGTCACTGATACTCTTCCCGTTCATAGTAGAGTTTCTTCCTCGTTTTTTCCTGTTAATTTCCTTTCTTAGGGTAGGTCTAAGTTCGAATTTTCATGTCTTTTTCTAAAAGTGTTTTCATATGATGGTGTATTGGAATTACGATTGCCGCTTTAGGCAACAAATACAAACTATTTTAACGTATAATTTAGGATTTTTTGTGTTCTTTAGGGTTATGGTGAGTATTGGGACTTCTGACTTAATTAGGAATTTTGTTGTGGTGCTCTTTATGAAATTTGTAGTGCTTTGGTTTTAGAAATTAATTGAAACCCTAATGAGTATTTTAGTATTTTCGTTGCGGTGTTTTAGGAAAGCGGGTATCGGGGATTTGGTAGTGTTTTCTTTAGGAAGACAGTGTTTTTTCTACAGGGAAGGGGCTCCACTCCATGAAGAGGGTTTGGAGACCTTGCTACCCCTGAATCTGCAGTTCTTTGACATTGTGTTTCTGCCTTGGGCACTGGGCCCTGATAAACTTCTGTTTCTGTTAAAAAAAAAGAAAAAAGGTTATTGTGTATAAGGTGCGCGCATTTTTGTCTATATCTAGTAAGTCATGCTTTTGGGAGGTGGGCCAATATCTAGGTAAATCGGGATCTCAGGTTGATTAGTCTTTTAGTATGTTGATCGTAGACTGGGCTATGGCGCGCGTGGTGCTTTGTCTTAATCGGAAGATTTGCTTTTGACACGTTGTTGGTGTCATTTCATCTCATTTGCTTCTTTGATTGTCATGTAGTGTGGAGCATGCCGGTTAGCAGGACAGACGCAGTTTTTTCGTTTTTGAATGTAGTGTTATTTAAACTTATTTTGCATTTTTATTATTTATTATTTTGGGGGGGTACTCAGTCTCATATTTAATTTCGTAATGCTACGTCTGACTGCACCGTGTGTGTGTCCATTCTCGTTGGTTAGTGCAGGTATTTCTTTTCAGTTTTTTTAGTTTTTTTAGTGTAACCAGTTTTGATTAAGTATGTGTGTGTTTTGTTAATTGAGTGCAGGATTATTATTATTATCTTTATATTTTTATTATTATTTTATTATTTTATTATTATTTTTTTTTTCTCATCATTTATATATATTTTTTATTATTAGTAGTATTACTTTACTTTTTCACTTTTAAATTTTTAAAATTTTTAAATTTCTTAATTTTTGATTTTTTAGTATAATACTCATTTATTTTTATTTTTTATTATTATTTGCTATTTTATGGGTTTTCTTTAATGCATGCGTGTGTGTGTGTGTGTGTGTGTGTGTGTGTGTGCGTGTGTTTGTGTGCGTGTGTGTGTGTGTGTGTGTGCGTGTGTGTGTG